TTTTTCAATCCTCTTATATGAAAAACTCGGATTGAACTTGTGAGCTAAGAAATTAAAATTTGTGAGCTAAGAGAATAGAGTTTATTAATTTCTTAGCTCACAAGTTCAATCCGAGTTTTCATATAAGAGGATTGAAAAACACCCCAAGTTATCTTAGTTCACAAGTTCAATCCGGAAAAAAAAAAGTTGGGATGTTTTTCAATCCTCTTATATGAATTTCTAGCTCCGTCGCTAAGAAAATATAGCTTAAATATATATTTAATATGCATTATATTAAAATAACAATCATTAAGCTAAATTTTAATTGACTCTAATTACTTATTCTACTTATAATTTTAATGAACCCTAATTACAATTTATAATAGGTATTACATAATTTAAGTTATAGCTAAAACCATAAAAAAAAAATCATATAATAAAAAAGTATTGAATTGAGGTGGAAATTAAAAATTCAAGGGCAAAAAAGGTATTGCGTAGGATAAAGGGGGGAAAATGATTATTGTTCAAAGTTGAGGGGGGAGTTTGATTTTTAACACAAAGTTGGGGAGAGTAAATGATTTTCACCCCATACAGGAGAATAAAATTACCAATACCTTTTTATCCATATTTAGGCATGGGAATTAATAATTCACCTTCGTTTTGGCACTTAATGGACCACATTATCTTGAACTAAAAAAAAAATTAGTACAAACCTCCTAAGAAAATGTATTTAGCAATAATAAATTGAGTGCTATCCGCGTTAATGATGAAATTGTCGGCGTAGTCATTGGGTATATCTTATCTTATTAATTATCCGAAAGATTAAACAAATAAATATATTGTGGTTCATGTTGACTAAAATTATTACTAACCATTTACTCTAAATGACGCCCTTACCCTTATTACTTCTTAAGTAAGATAGTGCAATATTTAAGGACAAAATTGAGCTTTAACATGACGTCGAATTAAAAACAAATGGAACTTTTTTTTTTTTTTTTTTTTTTTTTTTTTTTTGAATGTGGTACAAAGGGTTAAACTGAAGATATTCAAAATGGAGATTTTGATTGTTTTGTTGTAACATTTCATCTTCAAAATATCCTTACCCAAGAATGAAAATAGCGTAAGCAAACTTCACCTTGCCATGACCCTGATGATTAGATTTCTTATTTATGGTAAGAAGGGGGCGGAATACAGGGCGGATTTATAATTTAAATTTGATGAGTTCAATTTTAAAATTATATAACCGAATCAATTAGAATTATAAATTCAAAATTTAATATTTGTTAAAATATTAATTGTTCTTTAAATATATATTTCATCAAACATGAGCTCTATCCGCCCTGAAGAATGGTACTCACGTCGCAATTCCAAATATCGTTGTTTACCTACTTTATTTGGGTAATATAAGAGAGAATAATTAATGGGAATTCCGGAATTGTACAAATGTAATTCTTGTATCCATTGAATAGTTTCTTGGTTTACAGCTTGTTTGGATGATTGTTATGTATCGTTTCATAATGTATCATATAGTATTATATTGTATTGTACTGTGTTATTTTGATATAATGCAATGTTTGAATAAATTGTATTGTTTGTCGTTGTTTCATAATGTCATGCACCAATAACATGACGAACAAACTTGCAATATTATCAAGAAAAAATAAAGTACGAGGTAAAACTATTATGTAAAAAAGGTAAGATAAAGATTAAAATTGGATTATTTAATAATGAGGAAGAGCAAGATGCAGAAAAAAGAAAGGCAATGATGCGATCACACCAAATTAATTCCATAAATTGGAACTCTTCGATACAACAAAATTTAAGCAACAATTAAAACAAATACTGTGTTTAAAATAACAATACCATAAAATACAACAGCTATGAAATCCTTAAATTTCGTATGATTTCGTAGGATTCTTGGTACAATTTTCTTGTCCAGGCCAAGTACCTAAACTTTAAAAGAAAGGACCAAAAAGAACCAAGTAAAATCAAAGAACATGTCCTAATCTCAGAAGTCGAAATGAATATTTTTCTGGAGAAGTGAATAGGAAATGCCTAAAAAGTTGTCAGTTAATCAACTCTTTCAATATATATATATAGATGCAAAATGATTGAGATAGAGGGACAGTCAACGTAAACTATATATAATAAGTACTAAAGTACAGGGTATTAGTAGAAACATTACATTAGATTTTTTCCATGCCTTTTTTTTCTCGCTTGTTTCATACATAAAGTTTGAATCTTTTTACCCTTTTTCCCATTTCATAAATCTTGCATATAGATGGGAAGATCCCCTCCATTCTTGGAAAAAAGTAGGAGCTTGTAGTTTTTATATATAAGAATCTTTGCTTTAAAATTCCCATTTCAAGATTCCATGGTTTTTTCTGTATCATCATCAAAAGGAATCACTTGACAATCTTAGTTGTCTTTGCTCTTCTGGGATGTTGGGTCTCTAGCATTTTGAACAAGTGATGCACAGAAGCCTAGAGGTAATGCTAAAAGCTTTGATCTTTCCATGAATTTTCTTTATATAGTTGACTTGTCAATCTAGCATATTGGCTTATTCATTAATTGGTGGAGTTTGTGGGCAGTTCTGAATTTTTGGAGTTCTTTGAAATGGTTAATTCATCAATAT